CACACACACACACACACACACACACACGCACACGCACACGCACACGCACACACCACGCATGCAAGCCCCCAAAGGCCCCCTCCTGAGTTTGCATCCTTTCCCAGGCCTGCGTGGACGAGGTAGAGGAGGTAACGGCGTAGAAGGGGGGATACGGCTGCATTGCGTGCAGGGAGGGCCGCCCCCATGTTACAACCAGCTGCAAAGGGTTGTGTTCTGTACACAACAAGTGCTGTCATTTGGAGTGACAGTGTCTTAGTGTCAAAGTGTAGAGCACAACACGTCCGAGAAGATATAATGCTGGTTTTCCTCGTTTGTATTATTTGTTTTGTTCCGTGCGGGTGGCCACGGCCCTCGCACCTGCAGGGTCGGTTCGGCCTCCTTGCCAATCCAAGCGGACCCGCAATGCCATCGCCTTCGCCCCCTGATGCGATTCATGAGGAACGCAGTTGCTCTTATTTACCCTCTTGCCCCTCTCGTCAGATTGTTGTCGCAAACTCCGTCGGCGATTGAATGACCAGCTTTCGTCACTTGGCCAGGTGCCATCTATTGCAATCGTTGTTTGCTAGGCATCCTGGGATCCAGGTTAATGGACTTCGTGTGCTACGGCCTGCTCCTCATACTCTCAGTCTCGTGCCTGACCTTTCGCAATGCCCGTGATGCCTGGGAGCTGCGTCGCGGCGTCAGCGAGACGCTGGTGTACGGGATCGCCGGCGAGACTTCGAACGCGACCACGGGTCCCTTCACTTCCATCGGAGCACACGATGAGATTTGGTCATGGCTGTCAGGCACTTTCCATTACCAGCTTTTCAATGAGAACTCAACGCTGCGGCAGCACTACGTGCCTGTGGGCTATCTGAGATTGCGGCAGCACCGGGTCAAGCCGAGAGATTGCGGCCACGATGAGGTGCTCATGAGCCTGAAGCCGACAACGTGCTACCACGTTCTGGTGGACAGCCAGTCCGAGGAGACGAGTGATCTCGTGATCAATTCGAGTTGGCTGTCCGCGCCTCGAGAGCCCAATCCTTTGAAATTCGGCAGCGCCCCTGTGAGCGCACAGCCTACGTATGGTAGGCTCCAGTCAGCTTACTACGGGTCAGGTTATATGATTGATTACGACTTGGCGAGAGTTGTCTCAGGCGCTCTAGACACACAAGTCCTTCTTAATACAGGTGAAATGTTTCTAAACGACTTGGACCACATCAGAGACGAGTGGATCAGCAAGGCAACCCGAGCGCTGGAAGTGGAGGCAACTCTCGCTAATTACGACTTGGGTGGATATGTCGGTGTGCATTTCGTTATCGAGTACTCAGCAGGTGGCGCAGTGACCACAACGAATTGGATAAAACCGTTTTTCTTGCATACCAATTGGACCGACCAGACTGCCCATGTTCTGGACTGGATACGTTGTATTATCGGCGCCGCCTACATAAGCTTGGTGGCCCTTTATTACCATCTCCACGACAAGGTTAAGTGCGACCAGGCAGCGATTGGGGCAAGCGGCTACGACAAAAAAAGGAAACCTCAAAGTGGATTCCGATACGTGCTCAGTTTTTATGGTATTCTTGATGCGTGTATTGTTGGCACTGTGGTTGCAACTGTTTACATGAGAGGCAAGCCTGCCCCGGATGAGCCGAGTGAGCTCACGACATATTATTCGTACACGTTCGAAGCAGATAAGCAGGAACATTTGGCTGTAGCCGAGTCTGCAATTCTCGCGCTGGTAACTTGTAGGCTGGTATCTTTCATGCAAATGGATGCTTCCATCTACCGTTTCTACAAGGTGGTAAGACGATGTATCAATCTGTTCCCGCATTTTCTTGGTGCGTTCTTGCCCGTGTATTTTGCGACAGTCTTCATAGGTAATGCCATATGGAGCTCACAAATATGGGGATTCAGCACCTGGTCGGGGTCGTTCTTGATGACATTCATGACGTACCAGCAGGCCGTTGACGTGTTCGAGCTCAACGACGCCAGTCACAACGAGACGATACCGTTCGTTCTGTTGTGTTTTATGACGATGCAGGTGCTCTTGGTGAGCCTGTTCCTCGCGATTACTGTCTACGCTTACTTCGAAGTGGAGATCCTCGACGGCGATTGAGGGCACAAACTTATACGAAACCAGTACCTTCATCCCCTGTCCGACATTCCAGGAGTGGGGATGGAGAGCGACAGTGAGACAAAGAGCGAGAGACATATTGATGGAGACGCAGTAAGGGAAAGAGGGAGAGAGAGAGAGAGAGAGAGAGAGATAGAGAGAGGGGAACAACAATACGAGAGAGAAGGAGAGAACGAGAGAGTGAGGAACAGAGAAAGCGAGAGAGAGCGAGGAAGAGAGAGAGAGAGAGAGATGGAGGTAGAGAGAGAGGGAATACATATATATATATATATATGTACATATATATACAGTTAGAGAGAGATGGACAAGGAGTAAGAAAGAGAGAGAGAGAGAGGATGGGATTTGGGGAGGAAGAAGGATCAGGGAGAGGAGATGACTTCAGGG